TAAAAACCGCAAGTGCAATTGCTTTGATATTACATATATAGGTACTACATGTGGACCTTTCTCAGATTTGTTCATTTTGTAATGATATCGTTAATTCTCTAATTTTGGTGAATATTTTCGTCGTTTTTGGTAAAAAGTGATATTTTCGACTTCTTGTTAAAAACCGCAAGTCCAATTGCTTTGATACTACATATATAGGTACTACATGTGGACCTCTCTCAGATTTGTTCATTTTATGATGATATCTTCAATTCTCTAATTTTGGGGAATATTTTTGTCATTTTTGGTAAAAAGTGATATTTTTTACTTCTTGTTAAAAACCAATAGTTCAATTGCTTTGATATTACATATTTAGATACTACATGTAGACCTTTCTCAGATTTGTTCATTTCGTGATGATATCTTCGATTCTTTAATTTTGGTGAATATTTTTGTCATTTTTGGTAGAAAGTGATATTTTCTACTTCTTGTTAAAAACTGTAAGTCTGATTGCTTTGATACTACCGGTATACATATTGTTCATTTTCTAATGATGTCTTCAGTTCTTTAATTGAAATGTGCATTGCTAACAGCGGAGCTATCTCAGCCGATAGGCTGCTTGTTGTCTTCTTGTTATTAAAAACTGCAAGTCCAATTGCTTTGATATTACATGTATAGATGCTACATGTGGACCTTTCTGAGATTGTTCATTTCATGATGATATCTTCAATTCTCTAATTTTGGTGAATATTTTTGTCATTTTTGGTAAAAAGTGATATTTTCGACTTCTTGTTAAAAAACGCAAGTCCAATTGCTTTGATATTACATATATAGGTACTACATATGTACCTCTCTCAGATTTGTTGATTTTGTAATGATACATGTATCTTTAATTTTCTAATTTTGGTGAATATTTTTGTCATTTTTTTGGTAAAAAATGATATTTTCGACTTCTTGTTAAAAACCACAATCATTTATGGTGAAAAATTATATTTTTGAATTCTTGTTGAAAACAGCAAGTCCCATTGCATTGATACTATACATATTGTTCATTTTCTAATGATATCTTCTGTTCTTTAATTGAAATGTGCATTGCTAACAGCGGAGCTACATGTATCTCAGCCGAGAGGCTGCTTGTTATTTATTTCTCTGATAAACAATGTTATTTTACTTACACATGACCCTATTATTCACTCTAGTCATCCAGTGTATTTATTTTGTACTACCCATTGCTAATTGCAGATGTAATATTCACATGTGGGTGCCCTGGAGTGGTGAATAACAAATAATTGTTCATTGTAACTTAGGAAGATCAGTTCTATAATTCAGCATTTTCTAGCCTTGTATGCATACATGTATATACTGCGATACACATCAAATGATTTTAACATTTAAAATTAAGTTTACTATTTTCAATGCTTGTGTCTCTGCGACAACCTAATCTTCTCATCATGATTATTTCCCCTTGTTTATCTATCCTCATATATGTCAGTATCTGTCTGTCATGTTTTTATGATAAAACATGATTTAATGAAAATAAGTAATTCTGTACAATATTATATGTGATTATTATATCGCACAAAAAAATCCTGTTAAAAAACAAGAATAATACTAGAAAATAATTGACGATAAAAAATAAGTTTAATATGTATGATTTTCTATATATTCGGTTACTATGGTTACCACATTACCACTGCATGTATTGCGCTTGATTAAAAGATTTATTAAAATGCAATTTCTCATGTTAAGAAAATATGTTATCTTTATTTTTTTCATACTTGTATATTCCATAGAAATGAAATGATAGAAAGTAAATACTATTCTTAGACATGTTTGTCATTATAGATTGATAAGAAATTGTCCTGTTGACAATTAGTGAATTTTACTTGAATGGAATGGCATTTAATGTAATTCTTTGATATACCTATATCATATGCTGACTGTTAACATTTAAAATTAAGTTTAATATTTTCAATGCATCATTTTCTTCTCATCATGATTATTTCCCCTTATATATCTATCCTCATATATGTCTGTCCTCATATATGTCTGTCCTCATATATGTCTGTCCTCATTGTTAAATTTTGTTTTAAGAAAGTTAGATGTAATACAACTTTGGCTGAAAAACAGTAATTGCTCTGTCTACTGCCAAGCTTCAAATGATGACAATATTTAAACAATGAATTATCAGTTTTATTCATCTTTTAATGTCAGTAACCTCATATTTTGGTTGGCAAAGAAAAATTAATACTTTTATCTTCAGCACCTTCATGCATTGAATGTGTTTTTTGTGTGAATTATAAAAGCAAGTTCAGCCTGGGTAGAACAATTCTTGTAACATTACTGTAAACATAAGAACCACCGTGGAATAATGATTATTAATTAATTCTGCTTCCATGTGAGAATTATCATGTCTGTTCAATAATTAAGTGTTAAATTGTCATCGTTTAAAAAAGTTCATCAAAGAGTTTATCATATGATTACTTTATTTTTGCATGACACACTTTAAAATTTACTACTAATTTACAGTTTACTAGATGAAGGCAATGAATTGCATATTGACTCCATGGGTGTTTTTTTTTTCATCAATATTTTAACCATGGTTTCACGGCTCCAGTATTCTATTTTGATTGTTGGTACAATATGCAAACACTTGTGCCATGGATCCAACCATGTTCAACGAATTTACTTGCGGGTAACTATTGTAGTAATTTTGTTATCTTGGGCGGTTCATTTGAAATGTACTTGCTTCCTGTTTTTACACTTCTTCAATATCATTGGTTCCCTGGTGTAGTATAGTAATCTTCATAATACGACCCAAGTACTTCAAAACCATGGCGATGTATAATTTTAAGTTAAGATTGACTGTCATAAAGGTTATACATCTATGCATATTATGTTTATTTTTGGTGTGACTATCTTTGTTTTACACAGATGTAAGAAGCTTGATTGGAAAACAGCACTTCCACAAACTAGTGTGATTATTACATTTCACAATGAAGCCAGATCAACACTTTTACGTACAGTAGTAAGGTAAGTAAGCTGAAGATTTTTACACAATACCAGTAGTAACAATTAACACAAGCAAGGAATATACTTTTCATTGTGCCCTGTTTTGGTAATGATATTTGTTATTTGTTCTGTACAGTTGGAGGTGAATAAAAACGGGTAAATCTGTTATGTATTCTATCTCTTTGCAGTGTTCTTAACAGAAGTCCAACAAGTATTATTAAAGAAATTATTTTAGTAGATGATTATAGTGACAATGGTGAGTCGGATTTATTTATTTTCACTTTCATTTTACTTAATGATCTATACGAATATACGACACATGCTAATTAATATATCATACTCATTTGACTCAGAAAATTTATATTACTGGTATATATCATAGATATCTTCTGTTGTGAATATCGTATACCCCTGGTACATAGACCATGGTAATTGTTTGTGAACTACGCTTTGACAATGACTTGTCAACAGCCATGAAAGGCGTAATTACTTCATTGATTATTCAGCTTACCTTTTAAAAATTGCTAATTACCTAATTAAAAAAAAAAAATCAATTACAATAGATCATACTTTGACAGACTTTACCTATCAGGTCAAAGGACAATGTTGCAGATCAAATCGTATGAGAAAGCATCATGACGGAAAATGCTTTGCATAGAGAGTTTGCATACAATTAAAAATATTCAAAGAAGATAATGATTAATCTCTCAACTTCGGCCGTTTTCCCACACAGATGCTAATAATTTTATATCGTAAATTTTGATGGTATGTAAATAAAATTGTAATAAAACGTGCAATTTTTTTGTGGTCATTTTTGTTTTGTCATTGTAAACATGGAATTCAATTTTAATTCCACCAATAACAAAAAAGATGTACTACCAGTATTACCCCTAATCTGGTACATGGTAAAAAAAAATATTTTTTGAGTAGAATGCTTGACTAAAAAACAGATTTTGTGAGCTGAGTACTCTGGGCGCGAAGTTGGACAAGTATGGTATTAACATGTTCCATACATGTATGTGTGATCATGATATTTACCGGGGTAATCCCCGTTTGGACAAAGTTTTTTACTTGAATTACAATTTTAATTGATATTCAACAACAAAAGTTTCATCAACGGTATTTATTAAAAATAAAAAAAGTGTAGCTTTACCGAGTATGTAGTTCTGCTCTGATGACTTTTCGCTTGGTTCAGGTGCCATGGCTTACGAGAAAGTTGCGTGAAAGGGAACGTAGACACGACAGTGTTCAAATTTAACGGTTGCATATCACGTTTTGTACATAAACAATTGTTTGTTGTGATATAGTATAACACTCAAAACTAAGCTTGTCAGGCAAATAAACTTAAAGGGGAACTGCTCAATCCCTTGGATTGCACCAAGTGCTCATGGGTAATTAACTCCGCCTCTGTCCACTGAGTAAATGAATGCTTATCTTTCCCCCTGTACCGCTAATCCCACAAAACAACAACTGATATAAACATCCTAAGATTGGATTAGAATTTGCTTGTAAGTCCCTGTTCAGACGAAGTCCGAAAACAAGGACTTATAATTCGGTCTTCGTGCATCCGTCTGGGGTCATATCTCAAAGGTTTTCCTTTCCTGACAGTGATAAAAAGAAATCTTCTGTTGAGTATGTGAATTGTTTTCCAAGACAAAGTTTTACGTGTTTGTGATTTGATGCTCATAATACTTGAACTGATTTCCACGAGTTAATAATTAGTCCCCGTTCGAACGAATTCCGAAAACGGGGACTTATAATTCTGTGTCCGTGCGTCCGTCCGGAGTCATATCTCAGAATCCCTTGGACCGATTCTGTTCATTCTTTGCATGTGCCTAGTACCTTATGTGGAACATATGCACATGCAGTGGTTTAGCGATTCGATTCAAAATGGCCGACTGGCAGCCATCTTGTTTTTTGAAAATGTTGTATTTTGGACATGCTTTGTCTGTTGTCATTCAAACTTGATACATAGATTATACATGTTAGGATACATGTCCATGACGATTTATTTCGCAATTGGATCAAAAATAGTCGACTGGCGGGCATCTTGTTTGTTTTTTTATGGACTAGCTCTGTCAGTTTTCATTCAAATTTGGCACATACATGTACTTTATACATGTTAGGATGCATGTCCATGACAATTTGTTTCAAAATCTGGTCAAGGATGGCCGATTGACAGCCATCTTTTTGGCCTTACTACTATATTTCCACAATTTATGTACCATTTTCATTTGTATTTGGCACATACATCATACATATCAGTGTGTTTCATAATCAGATCAAAGATGGTCGAATAATGGCTGTTTTTATTTTTGGCCATATTACTACTACATTGAACACATGTGTTGGTGTAAATAAACAATCTGTTGTATACGCCACTTGGAACTCAAGTTTCAAGGACACGCTCGCGACAACCCCTCCGCTTTAATATGACGAGCACAAAGAGAACTTTCAAAAATTTAACTGGGACTGTGTCATTTTCATTGACTTGTTTGTACATGTTGTAATCAAGTTATACCCTGAAATAGAGTTCTCATACATTACCATAGTTCAACAAAGGATATCTTGAGTACAGTACTACCGGGTAACATGCAGTGTTGCCTATTCCCTTTGTCTTGCGATTTCCTACAATTTCCAGCTTCACAAAAATGGAATTCGGATTGTGTGTTAAAATGCACTATACATGTATGTATGGTTTGCACTATCATTAGCACCGGAAACAATCTCAGTGGTTTTTAATGACTGGAGCTGTGCACGATATAGCAATTATGTTCATTCCAGAGTTACTACACATCTCTGCATATTGTATTCCTGCTATGCCTATTTTCTGGTAGTGCGACTATTGTCTGGTAGTGCTACATTTACTAAGTGTTAATGTTTATTTATTTCAGCTGAAGATGGCAAAGAATTGGAGAAAATACCGAAAGTAAAAGTTTTAAGAAATGAAAAAAGAGAAGGTATGGGAATATTTTTCTATTTTGGGTTTATATGCACATCTTTTTGAGATGTGCTTTTAATAGAGTAAACATTTTATTAGTGTTGATACAGTAATGTTATATATTTCCATTTAAGTGTATGTAATTATTTAAGGTAATTTGCTATCATTAAAAGAAATCGATTTTTGTTAAAACGCAGGTCAAAAATCCTTGAAAGTTATTTAAGTTACTATTTGATTCTATAGTAAAAAGTTCTTGGTATATCTCAGTGTTTTGATTACATATGGTGAAAAAATCAGATGACTTTTATGGTTGTCACATATTATTGGAAAATTCTGATAAATACCTTTTTTATTAAATAGTGCTTTAAAGATAGATTTCTATGGAAATTGTTCCTAAAATATAATTTTTTGGAATTTTTCTGGCATTTTTTATTCAAAAAGAAATTCGTACAGGGGGTACAAGTTGACATCTGTCCAAATCAATAACTATGTACCAGGATAACACTATTGAATTCCAAAAATGTTAATGTCTTACCCTAAATGAATATCTTGCTTGATTACATTTCAGGTCTTATGAGGTCTCGTGTGCGAGGTGCCGATTATGCTACAGGCACTATCTTGACGTTTTTAGACAGTCATTGTGAATGTAATCAAAATTGGATTGAACCCCTTATTACGAAAATACAAGAGGTAATCACTGACATCTTACATTGAGGTGTATAACTTATTTACACACTGTTATGTCTGTATTATTTTGACCATGACTGTATCATCTTAGATGAAAGGATAGGCATGTGAGAGGGAAATGTTTGTTCTCCTTCTCGTCGTCGTCGTTGTTTTCGTCATTGTTGTTGATGTTGATAACAGTTTTTATCTGATCATCAAAGATGGCCAACAGCTGACAATTTTAATCGGCTATTTTAACATGTCTGCCTGAACCAGATCTTAAACATGGTACATATTGTTGTTGCAGATTTTGTATAAATTGACATATCATTAACTGTGTTTTAAATGAGATGTTTTTTTTCCATTAATGGTAATTCAGGCAACCTCAAGACAAAGCAATTATGTCATAAAGTTAAAACACTGATAATTGTTTTGTATACTTTTATATATTACTCACTTTATAACAAACAAAATGTTTATGGTTGTTAACATTCAATACAAAATGGGGACTGTGCATTATTATTACTTATCTTCATGATTTATACTACATTTGCAAAGAGCATTGTTATTTAATATCTAAATTTTCAATGGGAAAAGTTGTAATAGTAATGCTATGTTATTACAATATAATCACACTTATTGTAAAGGATGGTGGCACAACCAGCTGGAAATGTATACATGTACACTGTTTTTTTTTTGTACCCTACCCTTTCTCAAATATTATTTTTGAGTTTCAAAACTGTTTCCAGCCTAGTTACAAAACTGTATTTTTCTAACAGAATAACAAAGCAGTGGTGAGTCCTATTATTGATGTCATCAATATGGATAATTTCCAATATGTTGCTGCTTCAGCTGACTTAAAAGGTGGATTTGACTGGAATCTAGTATTTAAATGGGATTATATGACTCCAGCTGAGAGAAATAAGAGGAAATCAGATCCAATAGCAGCTATCAGGTCAGTTTTTAGCTGAGAGCTTATCATATGAGTGATTGCCCGTCGTACGTGTCAACTTATTACTTCTTCGACTTCTTCTTGAAAACTACAATTCTTATTGCTTTGATACTTGGTGTATATGTACCTTGGGAAGACCTCTTAGAGTATCTTTAATACTCATTTTTGTTAAAAAGTAATATTTACGACTTGTTCTTCATACAGTCCAATCTTGTTGATATTATACACAAAGATACCTCATGTGAATCGATCTCAGATTTGTTCATTTTGTGATAATATCTTCAATTCTCTAATTGTAATGTGCATTGCTATATCAGCCGAGAAGCTGCTTGTTATTAATATATAATAAAATACAATCAGTCTTCATGACTGCAATATTTGGATGGGTAAAAATGTGATCTGTACATGGCTAATACATGCATGCATGTACATGCATCTCACTTATTCGATTTTAATAATAACACACTGCTAACACAAGAAATCAAAACAATTAAATAATTTTCTTTTTTCTGAGATTCTGACTGATAAATGCTTGCAAGGAAAATGATTGTTTATATTTGACTTGTACACATTTATAACTGTTCAAGAAAGTTTTTTGTCAAATCTTTATAGCCATTTATTTTGTCTGCCTATATACCAAGGTAAAACTAGGTGCCAATGTTATGCTTTAAGGTAGCGGGACTATTATTTG